AAAAAAAAAAAAAAAAAAAAAAAAAATTTCAAAAGTCAAGCATGATTCCTAGAGTTTCATCTACTCCCTGGAACTTTCTTAGAACTCAGTGAGGCAGGGCTTCTATTATCCCCCTTTACAGCTGAGGAAACTGAGGCAAAATCACAGTGCCTGACTGGCTGAGCTGTAATTTGAACCCAGGCAGCCTGGCCTCTTGGACTACATTCCTGACCACTACACCAGGGCACCTCCCAGGACAAGGGCAATTTCTACAGGGCCATGAGGATCGCTCTTGGGACCAGGGCAGTAGCAGGAGTGTGGGCCCCATCTCGGGCAGCACCTCTGCCCTGCTGCACACATGGGTGGCCCAGGCCACTCCAGGCCTTCTCATCACTGAGGTGGAAGCTGGGGACCCCCTAAAAATCATGCTCCTCTGGGAAAACTCTGACAGGGCAGGCAGGACAGGGAATGCAGGCCACAGAAGGGAATGCTGGCTGCTAGGAGCAGGGGTGCAGGGTGTGCATTGTGGACATTTGTCATGCTGTTGAGAAGCATCTGGAGGACTGCCCAAGTCTGCTAAGTCTGCCTGGGGGCTCCCACCCACCAGCCCGTGCCACCTGCTCCCATGGGTGCCCACCACACCCTACTCTGCTACCAGCTGCCAGGCCATTCTTTCAAGAAGCTTTCCCTGGCTCCTGGAGTCTAGTGTGCACCCCCTGGCCCATGTATTTCTTGGATGAATGAGAATGGGTGAGACTGAAGGGCAGGGGTGGGTGTGGCCTGGGAGAGGTGGAGCTGCGACCCCAGGCCAGGCCAGTGTCACTGCAGGTGTCTGAAAGTCCTTCCCTCTCTGCAGGAACTCAGCAAAAGATTCTCCACAATCCGCAAGACCAAAGGGGATGGCAACTGCTTCTACCGGGCCTTGGGCTATTCCTACCTGGAGGCGCTGCTGGGCAAGAGCAGGGAGATCCTCAAGTGAGTGACAGTGGGGTAGTGCGGCTCCCTTTTCCATGCTGGGTTGGCCTGGGTCTCTGGAGGGAGGGAGCTGGGGGCTCCTGGTAGAGACCTTTGATGCTGGGGAAGCCCAGCTCCTGCTGTGGTGAGGCTGAGGGCAACCGGGTGGCATCCGTGACCTTCTGGGTGCTTCCAGCCTCTGCGTCACCACAGGCCTGGGCCAGCCCGGGTGAGGCACATTGAGCATTTACTTGGTTACTCACTCCATAAGAAAACAACAAAAAGGCTTTACCTTGGCATACTGAATCATTGCAGCTGACCTCGGGCTTGAGGGTGTGTGGTACAGTGTCTACCTGGCCTGGCCTGGCCCTGAGGTCAGTGCAAAGAAGCTCTGTCCGGAGCTGCTCCCCACGGTTACTTGACATTAGACCTTCCAGGGCCCTGCACACTTGGACATTTGTAAGAGCCCAGGGGAGCTTGTGAGGACGAAGGTTCCTTGCACTTAGGTCTTAATGGTTCCTTGGTTCTGCGCTGCTTGGATTTGGACCATACCGAGCATCAGGGAGCCAAGACCCACCTGGCCCTGATTCTTGAGGGGCTCAAAGTCTTGGAGGACTGGACATGGACCGTCACACGCATTCTGGGGTTGTGACTTTATCCTCTTTGTGAAATCTCCCTCTCCTCCATCCTTGTCAGTGGCTATGGCAGCTGGTTCCACAGAGCTGCTCACTTGTCCTTCCTGTGTGTGGCAGCAGATGGCAGCAGCCCTTGCTGCAGTTACTTGGGGCTGTGTCTTATCTGCCTCAGAGCTCTGGGCCCTGGAGCCAGAGCCAGGCCCCCCAGTGCAGGGGTACGGGTCCCAGGAAGGGGCTGCAGAGAGCCTTCTGATGACAGCAGAACTCACACAGTTCTGGATGAGTTCTCTGGGTGGCTCTGGAAGAGTGGTTGGGCTAGCAAGTGTTTGGGAGTTTTTTGTTGTTGTTTTATTTGTTTTGGTGCCGGGGATCGAACTCAGGTCGTTGCACTTGTGAGGCAGGCGGCAGAACCACTGAGCTAAATCCCCTGCCCTGCTAGAAAGTGTTTAACAGCAGGGAGACCTGATGTGTGGGGCTTATGAATTTCTGTGGTGTAAATACTCCTGTCATGATCGACTTCCAGCATGAAGTCACTGAGCATAGAATTGGGAGGAGACCACACTAATCCACACAGCATTCACAGTAGAACACATGATCTTGAGAGCATAGATATAGAAAACAATGGGTTTTGAGTATTTATCATCTTTGCTTTCAGGTACACTTTATTTCTTTGCAAGTTTTATACCATTTAGTGTTTTGTTTTTGTTTTGTGGCACTGGGGATTGAACCCAAGGCCTTCACCCTGAGCTACATCCCCAGTGCTTTAAAAATTATTTTTGTTTGTTTTGAGATAAGGCCTCACTCAGTTGCTAAGTTGCCTAGGCTTGTTATCCTCCTGCTTCAGCCTCCCAGAGTGGTGTATCACAGGCCTGGCCTGGGCCTCCACACCCAGCCCATTTGGGTCTTAATAATGGCTGTGCTAACACCTGGCTGGGAGAATTCCTGGAAGTGTAAAGTTCAGTAGCTCTGATGAGGGGGAATAAACCAGCTGTGGCAAGGAGAGCATCCCCAGAGCTCTGGTCGGTGCCTTGGGATGCAGTGTGACCCAGGAACAGTTGTGTGGTGGGTGGGTAGAGATGAGGTGTTGGGGACTCACATCCCTGCGGGGAGCTTGGTGCCAGGGTTGGAGGCCAGAGTGTTGCTGGTCACACCGGGGGTCCCTGTGGACAAGGTAGGAGAGGGAAGCTGGACACATCCAGCCCAGAGGATGATAAGAAGGCAGACCATGGGCACAGGAAGGAGGGACCAGTCAGGAGACCTTTGGAGGAGAGACCAGCAGCCTGGGAGTAGGCAGTGGTTTCCCTCATTCTTTCACCTGTGAAGCGGGTGTGATCCCCACCTCCTGGGTTGACTCACAGTGGGGAGGACAGAGCATGTCAATGTGGGGGCCCCGTGGATGCCCTTCGCCTGTTAGTGACATGGCCCTCTCAGCATGGGGAGCCCTGGACTCCTCTATGACCACCTGATCTGCTGCCCTGAAGGTTCAAAGAGCACGTGCTGCAGACCCCAAATGACCTTCTGGCTGCTGGCTTTGAGGAGCACAACTTCCAGAACTTCTTTAATGCTGTGAGTTCGAGGGCACTACACTGGCTGGGGAGCCAGGACCTTCACATGGGCAGAGCAGATGGGAACAGGCCCTTCCGATTACCAGTCCCCAGCTGAGCATGTTTCCCTTTTCCTTGCCCCTGGGGCTGGGAAAGGACAGGGTTGCCACCTGCTGTGGGTTGGGGGGCCCTGGACACCCAGGCCCCGCACACCTCTGGAGGATACACCTCTTGCACTCCTTCCTATCCCAGCTGATATGTGCAGGGCCAGTTGACCCCTGGCTCCTGCAGCTCTGAATGTGTGATGGAGGAATTCTAACGCAGGCAGTGGTGGGGACACACAGTGCTGTCCCCTAGATGTGCCTCTGGGCTACAGTAGCACCAGCTCCCAGCACTTGGCTCTGGCAGAATCTGATTGATTTACCCCATAGCTTGAGGATCTCAAAGTGAGCCTTCTGAGCACATCCTGGCAGGTGAGATGGGGCTTGCCAGGGTGTCCCCTACTGAGGGCCAGTGGCGTGCAGTTTTACAGTGTGGTGGAACTGGTAGAGAAGGACGGCTCAGTGTCCAGCCTGCTCAAAGTGTTCAACGACCAGAGCTTCTCTGACCGCATCGTGCAGTTCTTGCGCCTGCTCACATCAGCCTTCATCAGGAACCGCGCTGACTTCTTCCGACACTTCGTCGATGAGGAGATGGATATCAAGGATTTCTGCACTCATGTAGGTTCTCCCAGGGCTCAGGCCTTGCGGGGATATGAGCCTGGTTCTTGTCAGTCTCTTGAAGTTCAGCCTCACTGGGTTAGCAAACTGCATGCTTTGGTTTGGGTCACTTCCCCTCCCTGGAAAACCCAGGCTGTAGACCGCTGTGTGTGTAGAAAAGTACAGAGTAGCATCTCCAGTCCCACTTGTCCCGAGATGTGTTGTTTTGTTTTGTTTTCAGTTTATTTAATCTGGTGGAGCGGCCAACATCTAACAACTGGACAGTTTTCCTATGAATATCTGGATGTCTCTTTACAAAGTTAGACCCTGACCCTAGTGTGGCAGCAGTTATCAGGCCCTGAGTAGCAGCAGCCCCCCTGTGGGTCCCCAAGTCTGCCCCCAGGTGTGCCTCTCTATATTCTCTTTAGCGTGCAGACTCGGGTCCCTCACTGAACCCTGGCCTCTGTGAGCACTGACGCTTGGATTCATCACCAGACAGGCTCCTTTGCGGCTCTGTTTGGTGCCAGGCTGCAAAGCTCCTTCCTCATTTCAGTTTGGTAAAAGAGCCTGGCATAAAAAAACCACACTTGTTCAGTTTTTGCAAACCCAGTGATTGCTAGTGATGTCAATTCCTCTTGGAGCCTGCTCCCCCTGTGAAATGAAGGTGTCAGCACCTTGCCTCCCAGGTGACCATGACCCAGACTTCTGCTGGGATCCCTAAGCTGGCTTGTTTTTTGCAGGAAGTGGAGCCCATGGCCATGGAGTGTGACCACATCCAGATCACAGCCCTGTCCCAGGCGCTGAACATCGCCCTGCAGGTGGAGTACGTGGACGAGATGGATACCGCCTTGAACCACCATGTGTTCCCTGAGGCTGCCATCCCTTCCGTTTACCTGCTCTATAAAACATCCCACTACAACATCCTCTATGCAGCTGATAAACACTGATTCACTTTAGGCCATGCAGTGGAACCTATCACCTAACGGAACTGCATTCTAAATGGAACATTCCAGCTTTTCTATTTTTTAAGTGATTTAGGTTATAACTAGAAAATGTACAGCTTTTTGGGCAAAGCCACTGGAAACAAGCCTTGCCCTTTCCGGACTTTGGTAACTTGGTGGTATTTTTTAGTATTTATTTTGATGGAGGGTCAAATGCCTTCTAATTTTGGGCCAGGAAGCCCGGTCCCCCTGGCTGTGCACCCCAGTTCCTTCACCTATCCTCACTGGACCTGTTTCCTCATCTGGAGGAGGATCCTATTATATGGAAATGGGGATCTCTGGTTTCTCCTCACCAGGGGCACTGCCCCTCCTCTGCAGGGGTAAGAAAGCTCAAGGCCAGCTGTCTGGATGAGTGACAGCCCTGTGAAGACGTCCAGCCCAGTCCGATGTGGCACTGGTCTTTGGTTGGTGTCTCCATTCACGATGAGGGCGTCTTCCCACCCCTCGCTTGAGACTTTTATGCCAAAGTCCAGAGAAGGACCTTAGCCTTCAGCATGAAGAAAGCTCAGGTTGCTGGGGACCCCTCTACCTCTCAGGGCCAGAAGAGCCTGACTTTAGGGCTCTGCTGCCTGCTGTCAGCCCCACCTGGATAAAAGTTTGCAGAGACCAGAGCCTATACCATGTGCTCCTGTCCTGCCCCCACAGAGCAGAGGCGTGGTCTAGGCACTGGGCTGGAGAGAGGCCTGTGAGAGGTCTGTGCAGCGGTGGCTGTCTCAGATTTTTCCTTCCTGTCCTGCTACTCTTTGTGGCCTGGCAAGGGTATAGGGGACAAAGAGCAGAGACAAGCCGTGGAAATTGGCAGTGGGTGAGATTTCCATCGGTGACAACTGCCTGGCCACGCTTCCTCATTCATCCACCTGCACAGGTCCCTTCTCTGGCCTTGCCTATGCAGGTTGGCATCCAAGATGGCCTTGACGGGGAACCAGACACGGCCTGGGCTGAAGTGCTTCCAGCCACCTCTTTCCTCCACAGGAGCGCAGGGAGAATGCCAGGTGTGGACGTCCTTGGGGTCCCTTCTGTAACCAAAGGCCACCTTCTCACCAGTTTCGTTCTGCAGGGATTTCTGAATCTGTTGGTGCTGTGATGTAAGTCTGCACCGAAGTGGGTAGCAGACTCCAGGTCTTACTGACACAAATCTACCTTGGTGAAAGCCAATAGCACTGTCAGGGTGGTTCACTTCTAGGCAGGCACCCTGGTTCCCACACTGCCCTCAGCTGGCATTTGGGTCTGAGGGCACACATTTTTCTACAGGGATGTAACCTGACCCTCACCTCAGAATTTATTCATTGTCCCATCCTGCTCGGGGCAGGAAGGTTGAGGTCTGGACACGTCTCCAGGGCACCCACTTCCAAAGAGAAGAGCATGAGCACACAGGGCACTGACCGATGCCCTCCCTGGGCCCTCTGAGGCAGCAAGGTGGGTCCTGCGCCCTGCAGCAGGGCTCTGAGACTGGGCGCCCTCCTCTGCGTCTGTAACTGTGGTTCTCTGGCGGAGCTACAGGAGGTGCTATCTCGGCAGCACACCCACACAGGACCACCTCCCAGGAGAGGTGGGTCCAGAAAGGCCCTGCCATGTTCCTTCATCCTCATGCCCGCTGCTTTTCTCCTTTTTGCACAAAACTGCTGACCAAATCCAAGTCCTGCCTTTATTCCATGTGTGCCTTCAGACCGTCTCTGAGGGGAGGCAGTGTGGAGGAAGAGTGGCAGGACGGAGGAGCTTGCTGAATAAAACCAGGCATGGTGCAGTTCCGTGTCCAGCGGCCCGCCATGCTGGTGCCGCCACTTCCTGGGTAACTGCCCACACGCCACAACCCAACTCTTTGCAGACCAAAGGCTCTAAGGGCTTGTCTTTACAACTGCCTGTATATTACTTTCTTTCCAAAGGAAACAAGCCCTGGAAAATATTGAGCAACAGGAAGAGCAGTGTCCTTTCTTTGGCCTGGGTTCCGTTTTTAAGCACAACAAACGGACTCTGGAGTCAAACATCCAGGCTCAAATCTCAACTTTGCCATTAGCTGTGTGACCCTGGCTAAGTTACTTTGCCTCTCGGAGCTTCAATCACCACGTGTGGAACAGAGACACGCTAAGGCTCATTGCTTCAAATGGAGTGAGACTGTGGTGAAGACAACCGTTAACACCCGACAGTTTGTAAGTGCTCTGCACACGGAATGCCCCCCAACCCACCATTCCTGATGGGCAGCAGTGCCACCTCGGTACTGTGGCCCAAATGTGGGATCACCAGGGGATTTCCTTTATGGGGGTGGTGGCAGAGTCAGACACATCACCACCCTGAGCAGAAACAGGGCAGGGGCTGTGGTTCAGTGGGCATTTGCTGCCCTGAGCAGTAGATGAGGTTTCCTGGCATTAAAATGGTTTCCATGAACAACTGTTGTCCAGGCTTCTCAATGTTGGGTACTTGCCATGCACCTGGGAGCAACACTGCTTTCCTGTGGGCCATGTATGCCAGGTGGAGAGGGACAGGAAGCTCAGGCAACAGACCTCACTACAGCCTCTCCGCGTGTGAGCAGAAAGGCCGGAAAGCGGAGGGCTCTGTGCTAGGTCTGACAGCTGGCCCCAGAGCTCCCAGGGCTCAGCCACTGCTGAGGGCCTTGAGTCCACTTAGCACCCCCACTGGCCTCCACTGCACCGTACCTCTGGATGGGGACACTTCCTGCTGTGTTCTTTCCTCCTGACACTGTACAAGGGAGCAGGGTAGGGGCTGTTCCCCAGCCACACTGCTGGCTCCAAAGACCGAAGCACTTTTCTGGTTATCTTGGGCCTAGAAGGAAGATGCTGTGACTGAACCGGTCTTAACCAGTCAGCCTGTTTCCTCAGCTATGAAATGGGTGTTACGGGAAGTCAGGTTACCTGATCTTCGGGTACCTTGGTCCTTTTGAAATGCATAGGGGCCCTTGAACTATACAGCTGTACTGTGTCCCAGATGAACATCTCCGAGTCCACACAGAGCTGTGTAGAAATCCAGCTTCTGGTTGCGCCAACTGGCTGCTCCCTGGGCACTGGCCTACATGGGGCCCTAAGCCAAGTCCCAAGGACTTGCACCCCACAGAGCTCAGCCAAGAGCAGTGTGGCCAGTGCTGAGGAGAATAAGTATAGGGACTGTGGCTCTGGCAGGGACAGGGAAGGCATCCCCCAGGGCCCAGAAAAAAACCATTTTTACAGACAAGTGCATGGGATTCTTGGGACTGGATGATGCAAGGAGCCCATTCTGCCAGAGTTGAGCCAGATGCTGTGCTTCTCCGGGGAGGATGGGAACATACCGAGGACCTGGCAGCAATGCATGAAGCGACCTGTAGCCAGTCTGCAACACTATCCCACCCTACCAAGGGACAGGCACTGTGCCATTAATGATGAAACAAATACCAGGATGACACTGGCTCTGACCATTTGTTTAATTCAAGAGAACAAGCTGAACACACAAGAAGCCTGTAAACACGAGTACAGGGAGATGAAACTGCTCCGTAGAATTCTTACTCCACGACACAAATCTGTATGGGGTCTCTCCTGCTACAGGGTGAAGAGTAGATTTTCTTTATGGGGTGGCGGAGTGAGTGGCACACAGAGGAAGGAAGGAGGGAGGCACAGAACTGCGCAGAACAGACAGCACTGTGCGGGCCCCACCGGGCAGTGGTCACGGCGCACTTGTGCTTGGTTGCGGCAGTCTCTGCCGCTGTTCCCTGGGCTTCCTCTTCTTCTGTCTGGACAGGCAGCTCAGCGCAGACTCACCTTTCCTCCGGGGGGCTGCGAGCAGGGGCAGCCTGCCAGACTGAGTGGGATACTTGGTTTTCAAGTCCTCCTTGAACAAGGGCTGGGAGAGCAGATGGCGCAGCTCCTTCTTCAAGATCTTCAACTGCTTTTGTCGCCGACGCTCTTCTTGCTGGTCTGCTTTTCCTCCTAGAGATGCAATAAAAACCAGATTACATTTACTGTGTATGCAGAAACATTTTGTTTCTTTTAATGGCTAAGACAATGAGAGTGTTTTGGAACTACTTTAGGAAGGCAGGGTTCCAAAGCTGTCTGCAGAAGCTATTGGTGGCCTGATGGGAACTGTGAATGTGGGAGGGATATGCAGGACCTCTCTGTCCTTTCTTCCACATGAAAACCTCGAAGGCAGCAAGTATCTTCATTTTATAGATGAGTCAGCTGTCAAACACAACAGTATCCAAAGTAACCTGACTGAAGGTTGGTTTCCTGCTACACTCACTTTCTGCCTCCACCCGGGCTTCCGCAACTTGACAGCTAAAAGTCTGTGAGACTGGGAACACGTGTAAAGCCCAGCTCTCCTGTGCCTCGCCGTAAGTGCTGTGAAGTGCAATGCGCAGGTGGACCTGGCCAAGGGAACCCCCACCTGGTCCTCAGCACCCCCACAGCTTCACACAAGCCACAGACCTGAGCTACTCATTGACATCAAGTCCACTGCTTTAGCTTCTGGCTCCCAAGCTGAGCAGAGAGCAGGCATTAGCCCTGCCTCTGAATTCTCTGACACTGGTTCCAAGACGCCAATACTGTACCTCAGTGGAGGGTACCATGATGGGGTGGCAGCAGCACTGGCCATGACTCCAGTGTCACCAGTGGTAGATATGGTTCTCCCTTTCCTAGGCAGGGACCCTGATGACCCATCCCTGAAACCCTGTCCCTGTACAGAGTAAGGCTCAGGCAGTGCCTGGTGGCAGCGCTGTTTCACTGCACAAATTCCTTCGAGAGAAGCCTCATACAAAAAGCACAGTAATTCCTGCCCCGTCCATGTTGACACTGGAGATCAAATGAGATGAAGATCTGAAGTGCTGTATCAGCTGGGAAGGTAGGTACAATAGTAATGATGATAAATAAATGGCTTACTGCCAGGAATTGTGCATACGTGATATTCTTCAATCTTTACAACCCCAAGAGGCAGAGGGCATCAGGCTCACCAGGGATTAGGGGCCATTAACGAAAAAGAAATGGCATTTAGCTGACTCCAACAGGACTCACAGTAGTATGGAAAATTCCAATGGAAGACACAAAAGCTGAAGGGAAAAGAAAGGAAAAGCAAACGTACCCTCCTCCACTCTCATCCAGCCCAAAGGCTTACCCTTATACATCTCTTCTTCCAGCTCAATCTCGAGGGCAGCCGCTGCCTGCTCAATCCAAGAGTTGTGCAGACAAGCCTGGAAGTTCCGGTACTCGGCTTTCTCAATCTGTCGAGCAAGGCGGATTCGCTCCTGGGGGCAAAGAACACAAAGTATTCACCTGATGGAGGGTTCAGGCCTCTGGGAAGCAATCTCCCTGGAACTGTACTGTAAAAAGGCTCTTAAGATCACTGCACAGGACGTACTGAGCTCCTACTCAAACTCATTTGTTTGCACTCCTAAAAAAGGCCCAGAGGGCAATCGTCACATGGATGTGCACACACAATCACAAGACAGCTTTCCCAGGAATAAACTAAAAAGTGCCCCTGCCAATCCCAGCTGAATGCCGTCCTACAGGTGGTCCAGCATGAGCCCTTTCCCTCAGATGCCCTCCAAAATGGGAGATGGAACCATGGAAAGCCATGTGACTCCTGTCCTCCTTCCTAACAGGAATTCTTTATGATCTCCCCCTTTCCGCCATTTCCCACCACACTCTGCCACAGAGCTAATGCTTCCTTTGAGCCAGAGCAGCAGTGAGTCAATACATTCACCATGCTCCTGCTCTCTCAATTTCTGGAGCTCAATTCCTCTCCACCTCTCCATCTCTCTGTCGCAGGAAGAAGTGCCTTCTCCTCCCAACATAACCGTATACCCCCACCCTATTTTCAATCTGAAGCCGGATGCAGTTGGCCTGCTCACAAACTGCTGACCTGACGAAAACACAAGTGCTCTGGCCCCTGACAATAAGCAACACCCCCATGGGGAACACCTGCTGGGTTACAATGAACCTCCAAGGCAGGAGTTACTGGTTTCTGCTGCAGGGATGGAATCAAACCTCCAGCATCTCTCTCAACTTTAGCACCTTTCTCATCACTCACAGCCCTTGGACAGGATGTCCTTGCAGACACACTCACTGCCCTATCCACTGAGGTGGGTAGATTCGGGGACAGACAGCAAAGATGTGGCTGAAGGAGAAAATACCTCTCATCTCTCATCACCACCCTCTTCTTGCTTCTCCCTGGTCTGGTGCTCCTAGGTGTTTTTTATAAATTCCCCTGTTCAGCTGCTTGCAGAACCTTCCTTCAGTTTCCATGTGTGAGGCTAGTGGAATTTCACAGCATGGTATTCTGTGAGGTAGCAGCAATTGCCTCATCAGCACTAGGGTTTGAGCAAGACTTCCTTTTTACCTTGACCACATCCATGTACTTTAACTGTACAGGGAAGAGTGGGATGTCCTCATCTTTCTTGAGGGTCTTGTAAATCTTCTTAAAGCTGACTACATCCTCAGGCCCAATCAGCATCAGGCTGAGGCCCTCACTGGTGGCACGAGCAGTTCGACCACTTCGGTGGATGTAAATCTCCGAGGTGCGAGGGACCTGCCAAAACAGGAACCGGGGTCAATCACAACAACTGACAAACACTCATCCCCCAGGGCCACTTCCCCAAACTGGAGGCTCCTCCCTACCATCCAGGTAGATAGGTACCTCTGCAGCAGCGTGGACCAATCTAACAGCCCCACATTCAAACTGTCCCAGGTTCAGCCCTCCCACACCTGCTACTCTAATACAAGTCCTCATAACCACTCAGGTAGATCATGGCAGTCAATTCTTATTTGGTTTTTTGTTTTTTTTGGTACCAGGGATCGAACTTGGGTCCTTGCGGTTGCAAGGCAGGCCACCGAACCACTGAGCTAAATCCCCAGCCTGAGTCAATTCTTACTTGCTATCTAGTCCTTCCACTCCTGTTCACCATGCCCTAGGCCAACGCTGCCAACGTCATCTTCCTGAGTCAGGTCTGACCATAACCTCATTCTAGCTGAAGAAATTCAACAGGGTCTCTATTACAACCAACACCAAGTGACTGCACTGTGCCAGGTAGCTCTAATCATTATGTATTATACCACTTATCCCTCACAACGGCAGTATCAAAGCTATTTTCTGATTAGCCACATTTTATAGACTGCAAGTTGTCATGAGAGCTAGAGTGAGCTCGTGACAAAGCACCTAGCACAGTGTGCTACTCAGTAAATGGTAGCTATTATGACATTTTCGTTGTTTCTCTGTAATCCTTCTTCATGCTTTTAAAATCTCTAGGATATGGATTTAAGAGCAAATCCCTACTTCATTTGGGGAAGAGTTGGGTCAGTTCTTGTGGAAGAGAGCGAAATGAAGGATAAAGCAGTAGCAGTTACAATGACATCGAACATGTGCTACGAAGTTAACTCGCTCCTAGCTAGCTGTGAACCATCAGACGGATTCAAAGCCCGACACTCTGGCTTTGGAGTCCATTCTCCTAGCAACTACTCTTACTTTACAAGTTGCATGTACCAATGATACTGCTACTACCATCAGGCACTAACTTTAGCAAGCTCTTACGATGACACAGGTAACTTTTTAAGCTTGTTGTAAAACAGTAATTTATTTTACTTGAGTAAAAACCTATGACGTAGGCAGTATCATAACTGCCATTTAACACACGAGAAAATGGAGGTGTAGGGAAACTGAATAACTTCATCAAGATTACACTGCTGGATTACATTAAGCCAAGTAAGCCATTAACATATTCTTCTACTTCTCTGCAGAGAGATAACCATTAGCATGCTGTTCTGGTCTGAATATGATCTGGTCCTACTATGGCTCATGCTGAGGCTTAATTCCTCAGAACAAAAATGTTGGGAAGTGGAGGCCTAATGTGGGGTGTTTGGGTCATGGGTAGAGTCCCCTGGATAAATGCCATCTCAAGAGAGGAAGCTCTTGCTCTGAAGGGGCTGGATTAATTACTGTGAGAATGGGTTGTTACAGAGCAAGGTCATCTCCATTTGTTCTTCTGCCTTGTGGATCCCACCAGAAGCTGAGCAGATGCTGGGGCCATGCTCTTGGACTCTCCAGCCTCTAGAAGCACGAGCTAAAATAAATCTCATTTCTTTGTAAATTATTCTCCAGTCTTTGACATTCTATTATAGCCAAAGAAAACTAAGACACACGCTTAACTTATTATGTGTTTCATGGAAGAAATGAAGACCTTAACCGATGATAGCAAGTACTGCAGCCTGGAGAGAAGGCCATGGGATATTAGAGTACAGACTACCCTAAGAAGGTTCTCCGGAGACTGAATCTCACCAGGATTCCCAAAGTGGTAGCAGTAAGCACCAGATCCCAGTGGTGTATCTGCTGCAGAGGGACTTGGGACCAGTAACTTGACTTCCACCCTCAACCTATGATTTAAAAATTCCCCATTCAGAGCAAGATGCCCTCAAGGCCCCAGATAGTCCTACCTGGTAATGGATGACATGCTGGACTTTAGGAATATCCAGACCTCGCGCTGCCACATCTGTTGCCAAGAGAACACAACTATGGAGACAAAAAGCACATTCGTAATTGTAACTAAAAGCAATCGTTAAATCCGTACCACCGCTGAACTCTTGAAACACTTCAATACAGTACTTGCAACCATTTTAAAAGACACTACCTCAAGAAACAGGCTGAGGCTTGGCTTCCCAAGACATGTATAGGCCTGTGCAGGTTCTCTTGCATCTAAATCATGTCACACTCTACAGTGACAGAAGGACCCTTCCAGTGAATTAAATGAGGCCATACATACACTGGGTTAATGACCTCATCTCCTAGCACTGTCACACAGATTTCCGCACTCTTCACAAGACTGTTTGCAACCCGCTCCTTAAGCAGCCATCTGGTCCAAAGCCAGAAGGACAAACAGCTGAAAGAGAGGCAGCACGGGCTCTGCGGTCTGACAGAGCTGAGGTCCAGTTCTGCCAGTTCCAGGATGAGAGAGACATTGCTGATCAGCTTTTCCAGACCTGATTTTTTTCATCTATAAAATGAGAACAGTGGTAGGCCAGGGATTAGCTCAGTGTTGCCGCTGCCTGCCTTGCAAGCTCAAGATCTGGAGTTTGATCCCCAGTACAAAAATAAATAAATAAATAAATAAATAAATAAATAAATAAATAAATAAATAAATAAGAACAGTGGTAGTTGAGCTAGTACTCATTAAAGTTAACATTTAGCAAGCATATACTATGTGCCAGAGACTGTTCCAAGCACTTTCTCAATCACGCTATCCTTCTTACAACTCTAAGGTAGCTTCTATAATTTACTCCAATTAGGAGAAAATGCAGCACGGAGATGTTAAATAACTTGATGAGCTAGGAAGTGAAGGAGCCAGCCCTGTTCCAGTCTGTGCTCTTAAAAAGAATTTATTGTGCTGCTCCTCAAAAGACTTTAGAAGTGACTAGAGGGCCAGGGATTTAACTCAGTGGCACTGCACCTGCCTTACAACCACAAGATCCTGATTTCTATCCCTGGTAAAAAAAAAAAAAGGGGGGGGGAATGTAGTAACATGCCTAAAGTATAAGACTTTATCTGTTATCTAAATGTTCAGTAATAATAAGCATTGTCACTAATATTTCTATACGTTTCTGTAGGGCATTAATAGCAAGCAAATATACTAAATGAGGGTGACCTTGCCAAATACTGAACAAACATGCAAACAAAAAGGTGGCTGCCTTCTACTATCAAGGACCCTAAGACAGAAGGTGAGTTCCTGCCATTTCCCTACCATCCTGGGACCCCCTTGGCCCAGTGGCTACAGGCTTAGCCTCTGGAGAAAAGCCCGACTCACTCTTCCAGCTGGGCAAACTGCTCCAGGTTTCTGAGCCTCTGCTTCTGGTGCATGCAGGCATGGAGAGTAAGTGGCATGATATCTAGGACTTTGAGGAGTCCCGACAGGCGTTTGATGCAGGAGATGCTGTTGGCAAACACTAAGCTGCGGCCTGGATACTGCATCAGGAAGTAGTACAGGTAGAAGTCTTTCTCTTGTGTCTCACAATGGATCTTGGTCTCTGTCAGCGTCTCCACTGTGCCCTCATTCCTTGTGAGATCAATGACTTTAGGCTTGCCCCTCATGCCAATCTTCTGCATGAGGAGGTCAAGTTTGGCAGTTTTGTCCATTTTTTTAACATGCTTCTTATGAAGCAGTCGAGCAGGAACTTGATGTACCAGGGTCAGTGTAGCAGAAAAAACAAGTGTCTGTCTCTTTGGGTTGTACTGGGAATCACTGAGCAACTCTAGCAGCTGTGACAGCTCAGCAAAGTGGCCTTTCTCAACCATCCGGTCTGCCTCATCTACTACCAGGCACCTGCAGATCCAGACAGAGTCACAGCACTGTTAGTGGCCGGTAAGAGGAATCATGTGCATACCCTACTCCCACCTGAACCACACGCTCTCACGCACACACACATGCAGGCATCGCCTCATCACCATGAGGACTTCAACTTAACTCCCTCACGCACACCAAGCTTTCTAAGGGCAAGGCCAGGATGGTACCACACCATGGTATTCTAGGACAGGGAGAAGATACTGCACAAACAACATGTCACCTAAGGCTTTAGAGCAGGTAAGGGAGAAGGGCAAGGCACCATCTTTCACCTGAGCTGCCGGAGGTTGCTTAAATGAGAGTGCTTTTCTTTGACAAGCTCCCACAGCCGTCCTGGCGTGGCAATCACAATCTCAGGATGGCGGTTCAACATCCTCTGCTGTTTTTGTGTGGACATCCCACCAACCAAAATAGCAGTTTTAATTCCTATGGGACAGGAAACAAAAAGGACAATTGTTCAGTCTGGCTACTACTTTCTCACTTGACTAAACAGTATCCCCAGATTAGCAGACAGTCACCAGCCCAAGTCCCTGTCCCGGGGCAGGGTTAAAAAAGCTGGCCTGGCCTGACCAATTCCTAGGGCACTTAATGAGTATTTGTCATCTAGGCACTGTCTACTTCTCTAAGCTGATTTCTATGTCTACCCTTCCAATCAAGACAGATGGATGTGAATCAGTCCTGCCTACCTCCAAAGCTCGGCAAATAGGAGCATTGGTGCACTATAGTGCTGGGAAGGATGCAGCCATGATATGTTTCCCTGAAGAAGCCCCTCCTCTTCCCCTCAATTAGTCAATCTGAGACTTCTATGATACTTGTTATTTTTCTCTCTAGTAAAGGACTGTGCCCAATATCCAGCACAGGAATGAATATAGAGTTGTGAGGGTGAAATGCTTAGCAACGTGTTTGCACACAACAAGAACTTGGTAATTAAATGCTGTTTTTATCGTAACATTAAAATTTCCACTGTGCAACCCCATTCCACAAAGCAATTCCCTGATAGAAATTTTTACCCTAAGGGAGGGATCAGTAAACTTTTTAAAAAAAGGTCACTTGCTAACATTACCAAACTTTGTGGATCACATGGTCTCTCTCAATTAACTTTGTATCACTTTGCAACTATGGCACAAAAGCAGTCAGATGGTATTCTATGTTCCAATAAAACTTTATTTACAAAAACATGCAAGTTGCTCATCCCTGTCCTAATCATCTATATTCAATAAATTAATTTCTTCTGTATCTAGAATGGATTTAACTATGCAGCATCCTTAAGAGAATTAGGAAGATGCCACTCAGTTTTCTGCAGGGTATAAATCTACGGCAGACAATGAAGGTTCTTCCTAGAGAGCAAAAACCAGTCAGTCCATTCACCTTTACCACTCAGGAGTTAGGATTTACTGAGGAAATGTTACTAAGCAGAACTAAACCTCACCTGTAAACTTAGCCACAGCATCAATATGCTGTTTGACCTGGATGGCCAGCTCTCGTGTGGGGGTCAGAACCAATCCAAGCAGAGGACGCTTTGGCTGTGTTTTATAGGTAGCAATTTTGTCATCCAACTCCTGCTCTAACTTGCCAGTCAGTTCTCCATCAAGCATTCCTTCTTTGTCTTCAGTCTGTTTGGGGACAGGCTCCTCTTTGATCAGAGAAGAAGGCCCTTCACCAGCATCATCATCACAGAGCAGGGCCTGGTCTGGGATGGAGGCACCAGTCTTGGCTCTGGCCTTCAACCCAGAATCACTGGGGAGTGCTATAGTCTCAACTCCAGCCTCACTGGGTAGCACTGCAGACTCATTTCCGGCCTTGCTGAGTGATCCAGTCTCGGTTCCAGCCTCTGTCTGGGCCTCTCCAGGTGGCACTCCAGCGTTACTTGGGATGGGCAAAGTCTTCTTCTTCTGCCACTGCAACACTGCATGAATCATTGGGATGGCAAAGGCAAGAGTTTTCCCACTTCCTTAACAAATAAAACAAAATGGTGTGAATCAACAAAGGCATTTATATTTTTTATCTGGAGTTCTTTCTTTTGCACAGAATAAGGGAAACTGAAATAGCTAAGAGCTACCCTGACCAACACAAAAAGCTCTTTCTCTCTCTGCACAGGTTCCTTCAGAGCAAGGTAGCCAGAGAATCTATAATATAGAGCATAAGGAAAAGCTTGGCTGAGTTTGTCAGTGATGAACTATAAACATCCAAGCAATGAAACCATTAAGAAAAGGACAAGTTCTGTTGTTTTAAAGGAATGAGACACAGTTGGGAATGGAAATCTATGACATGTTCCAAAGACCCTTCTTTGGTGAAAAGGAAATTTTCTTAGTTTTTCGGAAAATTTAAATATAACACTTTTGTCCATGCTTGAAAATTTTTCAAACTGACTTTTGAATATACAAGTACATGGAATCCAAATTCATATCAACTGAGAGGGCAAAACAAGCAACACCTCAAGCTGAGAATTTACAGCAGTCTCTCAAATGGCATTTTATTTTCCATGGCTTCAATTACTTGTGGTCAACCATGTCTGAAAATATTAACTGAAAAATTCCAGAAATGAACAATTTATAAAGTTTTAAGTAACCCTCAATCTGCATAATTGCCCCCAGAGACCATAAATTTCTTGCTTTAACTGAAAAGCTGAATGTTCTTAAGGAAGGAAAAAAAAAATCAGATGTGACTGCTAAGAACTAGGAAGTAATCTTCTTTCCACGAAATTGTAAAGGAAAAAGAAATACTAGTTTTGCTGCTACATCTCACACTACAATGCCACTGGTTGGTAAGGCTTACGTGTGTGTGTGTGTGTGTGTGTGTGTGTGTGTGTGGGTGTGTGTGTGTGTGTGTGTGTGTGTGTGTGTGTGTGTGTGTGTGTGTGTGTGTTTGTTTAGAGTGTTCAGGACTATCTGTAGCTCCATCATCCACTGAGGAATCCTGGATTCTCCTCAGACAGGGGTGTACTCCTGTAGTTCCACAGTAAAAATGCCCTAGGTACAAGCAAATAAATGACCTCTGGAAGAAAAAGATCATTATAAGCACCACAGAAGTTTTACAAATAATTTTGAAAGAAAACAATCAGCTTTAAGAATAGCCAAACAAGGGGCTGGGGATTTAGCTCAGTGGTTCTGCCACCTGCCTCGCAAGCGCAAGGACCTGAGTTCAATCCCTGGTACCAAAAAAAACAAAACAAAACAAAGACTAGCCAAACAAGAAAACAAGGTATTTTAAGAGGAAGAGGAGGAGAAGGAAGAGTAAGAGGAGGGGGAGGATCATGACAGTAAAATAGAACCATAGAAAAACAAGATTTTTTCATCAGAAACAAAAAAGCAGGAAGCAGAACAGCAACATTTTTGAGAATCTGAAAACATAAATCTGAACATCTCTGAGTTCTACACCCAGAAAAGAAATTTCCTTAAAACAAATGTGAAATAAAGGATTTTTTGACATACAGAAACTGAAATAATTCACTAGCAACATAACTGGACTACAAGAAATGCTAAAGAAAGACTTTTCATGCAGAAGAAAAAATGGCACCATATGAAAATCTTGATCTACAAAATGAAGAGTACCAGAGGGCTGGGGATTTAGCTCAGTGGTACCGCAGCCTCACAAGTGCAAGGTCCTAAGTTCCATGCCCAGTATCAAAAATTAAAAAAAAAAAAAAAGAGTAGCAGAAACAGTTGTTACTATATATTAAATAAACTTCTTTTGGGGACTTCAACCATATATAGAAATAAAGTATACAACAAAAAGCACAAAGGAGGGAAGAAACGGAAATATACTCTTCTCGTAAGAGTCTTATACCAAGGACTGGGGATTTAGCTCAGTGGTTTTGCTGCCTGCCTCACAAGCACAAGGACCCGAGTTCGATCCCTGGTACTACAAAAAAAAAAAGATTCTTATACCACATGTGAAGTAGCATATCACTTGTAGGTAAACCACGATAAATTAAATATATAAGCAACTGACAGTACTAACTTGCAAAATACAACATTAATATATATAGTTATACATAAATTTAAATTAACATATATAAAATATACTTTAGGTACAAATATATATTTACATTTTAGTTTTATGTTCATATATTAATAAATCCATATTTCTATCGGCAATAGTCAAAGTTTTATCACTTGCAACAGAAACAATAAACATGCAAATGTACACATTAATAACCATAAAACATTGCTGAAAAAATTGAAAGACCTAACGAAGCAGAGAAATATACCACATTTGTAGGTTGAAAGACTTAATACTAAGATGACATCTGTCATCAATTTGGTCTATAATCAATGCAACCCGAACAATAGCTTGCTTTTGGAGTACATTGATTCTAAAATTTATATGGGAATGTGAAGGCCTACAATAACCAAAATCATTTTTATAAAGGTATTATAACTAAGTTGACAAGGTATTGTTAATAGGTAAGTCAAAAACGCAAAATTAATTCAGTGGAAACAATAATTTCTCAATGAACTGTGCTGGAATAATTAATATTCATACACAAAAAATTAAAAAAAAATCTTATTCAATAACATAAAGATTAACTCAGCATCAAGAACTGAAAATAGGATAAAAATCTCTGTGATCTTGAGGAGTAAGGCAGAGTTCTTAAGATGATACACCATCCATCAAAGAAAAAGTTGATAATTTGAACATCAAAATAAAGAACTTACTTCCCTCTTTCTTCCCATTTCCCTCTCTCCCTCCCTTTCTTTTAAACTGGGGATGGAATGCAAGGCCTTGCCCAAGCACAGTACCCTATCTACCACTGAGCCATAGGCCTAGCACTCTCCCAGGGAGCTCCATCTCCTGCCCCAGAACTTGTGCTGTGTAAAACTGCTCAAATAATGAAAAGGCAAGCCAAACACAGTAATAAAAAAGGACAAATTACATATTATCAAAGGATAATGTATCTAGAATACATACAAAGCTCCCAAACTCAATAGGGAACTTAATTAATAGTGGGCAAAGGAACTGAACAAACACTAACAAAGTAGATGGTCAGAATGACTTCCAAATACACATGGTAAGATGCCTTAGTTACTAGGGAAATGCAAATTAAAACCACAGGATATACCATTAAACTTTTTAAAGTTTAATAAAATTAAAGACTGACCATACCAAGTTACTGAAAAGAATATGGAACAATCTGAACTCATAATGCCTGGTAGTTATATAATATGGTATGATCACTTTGGAAAACTCCTAAGAAGTTACATTTTATAGAAACCTAGCCGTTCTACATCCAGGTATTTACCCAACAGAAATTAAAGAATTTGCCTATACAAAGACTGATATATCTATGTATTTATTTGTAATTTCCAAAAAAAGAAAAAAAAAAGTCCCATCAATGGATGAATAAATTGTGCTCTGTCAGAATCCCACTTACTAAAGGAGTAAGTTATTGGTATTTTCAATAACATGGCTTAACCTCAAATTATGCTAAATAAAAAGAACATGATTGCCCTCCTCCCAAAGGTATATACTGTATAAAATTCTAGAAAATGCAAGCTCATTTATAGTGATTTAGTGATAGCCTATCAGTGGTCACTGGAAGAGGAACAAGGATGGGGGAGGGCATGGAGGGAGGGATTACAAAGGAACCTGAGGCATCTTTTCAGAGTAATGGTCATATTCATTGTTGCATGGGCAGCAGTTTTATCTATAGTCCCAAATGTATGGCTTGTCCCATGTCTTTTCAAGTGCTAGACCTGCAGATACACAGCATTCTGTGAGGGAACAGGGCAATGTAGATCCGAATGTCAGGCTCTAGTCACAGTGGCTCACAGACACTGCCTCTGCAATGCAAAGATCCACTTCCAGGACTCTGCACATACCAAATAGGTATAGCAGGCCTATCCTAGAATATGGAATTGCCCTTTCAGTTTTAGGAAATCTATTCTCTATGAGGTAGATTTTCTTCATCTATAAAATGGGAATAATACGTTGGTGTGGTAAACACCTGCAATCACATTGCTCTGAGGCTGAGGCAGAAGGACTGCAAGTTCTAGCCTAGCCTGAACAACTTAAGTAAAATAAATACATAAAAAAGGGCTGGGGATGTAGTCAATGGCCCTGGGTTCAATCCCCAGTAAGTCAAATGAAATAAAAGTAAAAATGAAATAATTACCTCAAGGTAGTTACAAGAACTGAGTTCATCAATATAAAGGACTTAACACAGTTCACTGCACATTTAAAAGCCTAGAACATGTTATAAGTAATTATCATGATCTCCATTCCCATTTCCTGGATTTTCCTTGCTCATCCATCTCCAGGATTTTCACACAGGACCTTATCCCAAGTTTTCTATTTCTAGCTGTGTCTAGGCTTATACAATATAGCAAGTACTGAAGCAGCGGCTACTAAACAGTTCAATGCCATGTATTGTAAAATCCAGATTTTGAAAACTTAGTGACAAATTATAAACTAAAGTATTACATTGACAACCTTATACGAATTTTGAAATATTTTGAATTGGCTAAATGTTTGTTAAAACTTGCACTTTTCTACATTTGAAAAACTCTTAAAAATTCTAATTCTTCCCTATATTGACATATATATATTTTTTATTTATTTATAGATATATATATATATCTAGCAGGCTGATCTTAGCCCTACCTTATGCCTTTGAGCCATGTAGAAAGGGCTTAACAAGAAAAATCACCATTTGCAGATCACTTACAATGCACTGTACAAACTTTACTGTAGCATTTGACCTTCCTGACAATAGAAGACATAAAGTAGTGCTTTTATTTGTATTTTATAACGGAGCACAGAACAATAAAAGCTAGGGTGCCAAAATCACAAAGGGGTAATTTCAACCCAGGGCTGGCTGACTTCTCAACACCTTCATTCAACACTGCCTTTGTTATAGTCTCAGCAATTCTCTCCCAGTTCTCCAGCCTACTAACAGCTACATACTCAATCTTGCCCTGTCAAAGCTGTCCTTACCGGTCTCAGCAGCCCCAAGGATGTCTAGCCTGTCACGGATGGCGGGCACCAAGGTCAGGGCTTGGATTGGTGTGGGTGCAGAGAAGCCTAGAAAGCTGAGTGCTCGGAGAACTGGCTTGGGCACAAACAAGTCCTTCCAGGCTGATACATCTGCTTTCTGGTCTTGCACTTCAGGCATCCATGTCTTAGCTTTTTTGGGCACCTTAGGGGCAGTGCTCCGGGAAGGCTCTAATTTTTTTTTACCCTTGTTTTTCTTCTTTTTTGGAACAGTTTGTACCAGGGTTTCTGATGCTATCTTCCCTTCCTCTGGACCAGGACAAACAGTGTCATCTCCCTGGGGCTCTGGCTTGGCATCTTTGAGCTCAAGCTCTTTCTGGGTAGAGGTTTCTTCGGTAGCCAGTAAAGCATCTTTAGTCTTCTTCAATTTAATCTTTTTCTTTGGGGAGCTAGACGTTCCTTCTTCCTCCTCTTCTGAAATGGTTTGTGCCTTTCTCTTCTTGGGATCCTCTGAGAAGAGACTGGAGGGATTCTTGGCAGGAGAGACCAACCGGTAATCTGTCAGTTCCTCGAAGCACACTAAGTCATCCATCTGTCCATCGGCAAACATATTTGGGTCAATCTGCACCTGCTTCCATTCTCCAATAACTTTAATGCCCTTCGTCTGAAATTTACCACGATGTGGTAGCTTTTGCTTTGATTTTGTTTCCTTCAACTTCATGGTTGCTGAAAAGGAGAGAAATATTCCTTTAGGTTGGTGAATGAGAAGCACGGGGTTCTAAAGCAACAAATATTTCCTAAGCAATCTATCAAGTACTAGGCCCTGGAAAGAACTGACCATACAAAGACTGCTGTAATACAACTGCTCCCATTTAGATAAGATGCTTCCTGCTGAAAAAGACATAACACTCACAGAACAAGAAGGTTGGCCTGGATCAGAGAGGAGGTAGGAGATGGAGCAACAACATGAGATATACCTGGCTTGGATTCCAGATGTAACCCTTCATGTGTGTGTGACATTGAACATATTCCTCTCTGAACCTCAGTGTTTTCACCTATTAAGAGGGGAGGAGCTTAATACCTAAGCTGAAATAATGTAAAATATGGAGAATGAGGCTTGCTATATATTAAGAATCAGAGGTAGTTCTTTTGTTGGGGGGGGACTTTATAAAAAGCACACTGAGCTATATTCCTTGGCAAATGCCTGTTCCATCACTTTGGCCTTTGCCACTTGGGTTAAAACCCACCTAACTTTTTTCATTGCGTTAAGTAGTTTAAAAAATATTTAGGCAGAACTTGTCGGGTGGGACTCCATAACCTGTTTAAAAAGGTATGAAAGATAACAAATTATGTGGAAAACACAAAACCTCGCTAAATGAAAAGCACAGGGTGCTTAGGCAAAATATACTTCGGAAGTTAAATCTCGTTTCAAACTCAGACCCACTACTTGCCAGTTCTTGCCAGCCTACCGTGAAGGCATCAGTTTCTGTGAGCCTCGGGTTCCCCAAACTAAAGGAGAGAGACCGCTTGGATCTTACAAGAAAACCACAGAGTGACGCAAATCAAAAACCCGCTCAGCATGGCGCCAGGCGAGGAAGGCCAGCGGGCAATCAGCTCAGGTTCGCCCCCACCCCCAAGGCTACAAACGCCAGGTGTCCGGCGTCGAGCAGAAGGTGGGGACCCCTGGAACCGGGACGAGGACGCGGCAAGCTGGACCCAGGGGGTCAAGGGTCCTTCCTTGGCGCAGGCCGCGCGACAGGCTTCTCGTCTAGTCTGGAGCATTAACCCTCGCATGAAGCCTCACGAGGCCGCAGGTCCTGGAGATCCAAAGGGCGCGGGGCGCCGCGTGCAGCCTGCTTGACCCGCTCGGGACCGCGTCCTCCCTCTCTCGACCTAGGGAACTCGGAAAAGCCCACCCGAAGTCTCACCCCACGGCCCAATCCGTTCCCGGCCTCAATCCCACTCCGGCTTCGGTGTTTACCGCGCGGAGAAGCCACAGCGGATCGCTCTGACGACTATCAGGCGCCTCAGAAAACTCCTACGCAGTCTTTCAGCTGCAGTTTCTACTGCAGTTCCGGGGCGGGACTTCCACGCACGCGTGCGCGCCTCAGAAGGAAGTCCCGCCTTCACACCAAAATTTGCAACTTGATTGGTTACTCTACGGGCCTTCTGCGTTGTGCGCTGGCCTCTTCCTTGCTGTGTGTCGCCAGAACTGAATGTGCAGACCGGACTGCTAGGGGCCTGCATTCAAACGGCTGTGCACAATTCTTATTCTCTTGGACTAGTTTTGATGCAGTCATTGTCCACGTCTTGAGTTCCTACTATGTGCTTGGAAACTTGCACACGTTTCCTTATTTAACTTAAAACCCAACCAGCCAGTGTAGGACGAGCTGTGTTTTCCAGGTTCGTTTTTTTGTTTTGTTTTGTTTTAAACGCCTCGCATGTTGCATATGCCTGACTCCAAAATGCATACATCAACCACCAACCTATACAGGCTCCTTTGTAATAGAGCAACAGAAATCAACTTCGCAGCAGATAGTGACTTTTTCCATGTGGCTGTCACTGGATCACCTGGAAAACCTTTCTCCTACGTCGTGTCTGATGTGGGGGAATTGCGGGGAATTCTCTAGGGTTAGGTCAGCTGAGTACCAAACCACTCCCTATCATGGAGCAAACATGGTTCGAGTTTACCTCATGGGGGAGGGAGACTTGCCACTAAATCTTCCAAATTTGGGGAAGCATAGATCCTGGGTTCAAGTCTGGTAACAAGAGACTGGAGCTGTACAGGTGGCTGAATGAGCAGGAAGGGCTGCACCTCTCGATGACAAGATAAAAGTGCTCTTCTCAGGGCCAGTTACACACTTTGGAGTGATGGGAGGTTTTCCGTGCAGAGCCTTTCCTAACAGAGTTGTTTTCTGGGGAAAAGCACCTCAGCAGAGAGAGGCTGGAAGTAGGGCCCCTAGGTGGGAATTGGGGGCATCATGCAGGGTCAGAATGGTACATGCTGGAGATGTTCAGTGAGGCCCTCTGAAGAAAGAGACAATCGTCTGCGTTAGGGTTTTTCAGAGAAACAGCCAACAGGATGCATATATGTGTGTAAATTGGAAAGAAATTGTTTTAATTTTTTTAGATAGGGGATGATTCCAGCCAAGAGCAAAAGGATGACAAGGTTGCATTACAGTAGTGGGGACATAGGTATTTTCCCCTTTCCAATATTCTAGTGAAAAAAGTTATTTTCTAAAGAAATAAAAAATATATAACTTAATAGAGTCAGAGCTTTTTTTTTCAGCTGGTAAAATTAATTAAAATCAAGATACCCAGTAAGGACTCATAGTTACCAGGAGATCCATGCAGCAATATTCAATGCCAGTGGCTGGGGTAGATGTAATTACAAATATGAAGATCTGTTTCCAAAAAGTAGAGAAGGGCTGGGATATAACTCAGAGGTAGGGCACTTGCATAGTGTGTGCAAGGCCCTGGGTTTGATCCCCAGTATTGAAAAAACTACCCTCAAAAAATACAGAAGAGTGGATATGGACACTGGGGTAATTATCAAAAGTATTGGAACAATTGGGACAGTTGAGCTCATAAAAGTACTCCCATAAAAATGTGATGTAGCCAGGGAGGCCTCGCAGGGAAGGTTGGGGGTCTGAAATCAGATTACCTGGACTGAAATATGAGTTCTGTAATATTCATTGTGTGACTTTGGAAAATTATTTAGTTTTCCTGCATCTGTTTCCTGGTCTGTAAAGTCAGAACAACAGTAACCCTCAGAGTTGTGAGGATTAAATGCGATAATATAAGGAGATCACTGTGGTTCCTGGTGAGCCCAGGTTGACCTTAAAATTCCTCTTATTCCATCTAAGCACTTATGTACTTTTGATATAGTACACATCAAAAACTAACCAGTGGGGGGAAAACACATTTCAGCAAAATGCTCCCATAGAATTATTCCAAACCTTTACTGTCGCAAGTAACACCACTATAATCATTCATGTCAGATATTTTCATGTAATCTCTCAATTCTTTCATTACAGTGGTTGCCAAGAAATACAATTTCTGAGTTAAATGAGCTTCTGATGCTTCCTGATAAATTGCGTGAAAATACACATCAGGACACACCTTGCCCAGCAGGGAATGAGAGATGATTCCCCTTTCCACCTCCATGCAGACACTGGGTACTTTCAGTTGTTTGCTTTTTAAAAAGTAATCAGATAATAAAATAATGAACAGATAATAAGGATGTAGTTAGCACCATCCCATCCCCTGCTGTGAACATTTAGAATAAAAACCTAATGACCACATGTTCTGCAAATGACCTGGGTTGTGCTAATCTGACTGCTTTGTACAAGAAGAACATGAAGGTGGAAGGGACATGGGACTGTACCTCTGCTACCGTGCATATTAGGGCGATCCCGGTTTCCTGCCGCAGCAGAAGCCGAACCCCAAGAACAAGTTCTTACTTTATGAAGCAAGATGCAGGTATTGAAGTATCCATTTACTGCCATAGAAGGATGATACCTGAGGTAATTTGACCCCAGAGCCAACAGATGGTGCAGTGCCCTCCCCACGTCCCAGTTTCTTGATTGTGGCATCCTCAGGTGTCCCAGTTCTTCAGTGTCATCCTAGTGGCAGAGGCCGTTTCTGGAAATGCAGCTAAGACCCTCCTTCCCCAAAGCTAGAACACTCTAGAAGTCATTTGATTCCCTGTGTTAAAACCCATTCTATGTAAGTTAGCTGGACTGACTGCTGTTACCTTCAGCAAACTGTAAAATACACGTGTACACACACACCCTATACATCACTATTCTTTTACTATTTGTGACACTGGATGTCTTTTTGAACATTTATTGGTATGTGCAATTCTTGGAGAAGTGTCTCTTATGGTCTTATGAGTTTGTATTTTTTAAAAAGACAATTCTTTTAAAAAAATCATTTCATAAAAACTTTACATTGAGGATACTCATGGTGCTAAAAGTATTTGTTTTGTTTTCCCAAAATAGGTCACTTGTTTCTTCACTTTGTTCATGGTATTTTTAGTGACACATGCAGCTTGAAGCTGAGACAGTGAGGAACCACCATCGGGGAACAGGAATGAGACGGAAAGCTCAGATGACAAAATAAATGCCTGAGCACACTGACTAAACTGTTACCCCTTGTTGTATGGAAAGTGTCAGCAGACCTATCACGAAACCCTGATAAAAATCACAAAAGCAGAATGTTTGCAAGAGATAAGAAGTTGTTAAAGAAAAACCTAAATAAGCCCTTACTATCTGGTATCCGTCAATTTATGATCATTAACTTTGGAAGTCACACTGCTGGGTAACACACTATTCGTTCCCACTATCTTTGCTGTAGGACAGTATCTCTGTCTTGTGGGTGAAGATAATAATTACCCAGGTTACTTTTCAGGGGCCTGAGGGCCACTTTTGCTGAAAATACTTAACTCTTCAGGTGAAGTTATAGAAATCTGATAGGTGCCTAAAATGGGATAAAATCTTGTCATCTCTGTCTTCTTATTATCTGACCCTGTTGCTGTGTGAACACGAGTCAAATTCTATTCTGCTCTGCACACAGGTTAATCATTTTCGAATGTTTGGTGCAAGACTGTTAACTTGGCATATTATCTATGGGAGCCTCTGTGTATCTTCTTTTTCTTTCTCTCTTCCCTCTTTTCTGTCTCCACCATTGTGTTTCTTCAGAAGCCACAAAAACCCAAGTACCTGAGGTCCTTCAGCCCTCTCATAGGACCCAAGCCCACAAGGCTATTTTACATGGGATGATGGTGCCACCTACTCTAAAATTCCATACACAGCCTCTAAAATGAGTTGACTGTGACCACCTGGAGGCCCAAGCCATCACAAAAATAAACATCTCTGGAACTGTGCCCCTGATCAATGGGAATTAGTGGAATTTAGCCCATGCCGGTAAATGGATAAAAACCTGCTGCTCTGTTTATTCTGCTCCTACTTGGTTACTCTCTTGATCAACTGCTTTCTGACTTCCTTCAGCTGAAGCTCCTGTTTGGCTAAGGCCCCTTCCCCAAAACTTTGCCTGTGCAGGAGTGTGTGCTTGCAATTTCCCAGGCTTGTTTATTTGTCCCAGTCTCATTTCTATCATTTCTGGGTCAAAAGATCCCGTCATGAGTATCATCAGGAAGCAGAGACTTGTCTTTTTCTCGTGGATCATTGCTCAAGAGCTCTGTAAATGTTTTTTGTTTGTTTGTTTTATTTTCGTACCGGGGATTGAACTCGGGCCCTTGCTCTTGCGAGGTAGGCAGTGGAACCATTGAGCCAAATCCCTGGCCCCTCTGTAAATATGTTTTGAGTGAAAGAACAGGGAGCACAGGGAAAGTGAAGATCCTGTTAAATCAGGGGAGACAGGAAGGGAGGAAATAAAAGAAGTGACAGAATTAGGGTGGGAGAGGTCTTCTGCCTGACAGTTTCAAATGCCTTGAGTTTGTTGCTTGTTCAAGAGAAAGAAATGAGGTGGCCAGACTTAGTGCCTGATCCTCCACCCTACGACTTTGTTTAGCTTTACAACATTACCCCAAACAACTCAGCAAGCATTGCTTAAATTTTCACCTCATCCCGTGGTTTTCACAGCTGGGTTGCAGAGTTCCCCTTGACCCCCAGGGGGCAGCACTGGTCAGGTTTCATGGCCAAAAGGAATACCTCAAGGACATTCCTTGCTTGAAGAAATAGTTTTTGCGAGTTTCCTATTGCTAGAGTAGCTAGAACAACAATCTGTGGACAGAAAAGAATGGTAGCACTCATACCAAATAATGGAATCATTTGAGCCAGAAATGGTCCAAATATTGCAAGTGCACACACTACTGAGCAGGCAAAGTTTTGGGGAAGGGGCTTTAGCGAAACTGGAACTTCAGCTGAAGGGAGTCAGTTAGTCAAGAGACTAATCAAGCATCTACTCCCAGGCTAAGTTCCACTAATTCCCATGGATCAGGAGCACAGTTCCAGAGATGTTTATTTTTGTGATGGCTTGGGCCTCCAGATGGTCACAGTCAACTCATTTTAGAGGCTGTGTGTGGAATTTTGGAGTAGGTGGCACCATTGTCTCATGTAAAATATCCTAG